GATGGTGACCCGGCATACAGAGGTTCGCCAGCTTGCAGCCCACTGAAAACGCTATCCAATGCGGCCACAACTGACGCAGAAGTGACCTTAGCATGTTGCACCACTCCAAGACCCCTTCGCCGGCTTTTCGGGCGCCGTATGCAGAGGAAACAAACATCTGGCTGTTCGTATACAAGGTCTCTGGGTAGTAGAAGGTCGAACCTCGTGGCTCCAAGAGGCTCGCCCGGCCTGCAGATTCCAAAGTACGAAAGCAGCATAATACCCAGAAAGCGCCGCCAGCCCCAGAGAGAAGCAATGGATACCATGGCTCGGAACAGGACTAGTGGCAGGGGGTGCGGTGTCTAACGGGTTCCAGGCTTTCCCATCGAACAACCAACTGCCATGCTCTGCTCATGAAAGGCCGGAAGTCTGGTTGCCATCGTTGCACTGCCGTCAACAAATGCCTGTACAGGTAAAGCGAAGCCCCTTCGGCAAACAAATCCCGGCCGAAGGCTTCTAAGAGCTCAACCAACGTCTGAGGGCAAACGATCAGTTGTTCGAAAGTGCTAACTTGAAGAGATCTAAGGCACCACGCTCGAAATCTTTCCCAAACTCGAGAACCGATCAGTTCAGTCCCGGCCTCTACAAGTGTGGCATTGTCAAGCAAATGAACGGATCTGCTCGACTGCCTGGGATACCTCGGACCAGGCTTTGATACCTCTCCAATTCGCCCAATCGTTCCACAAATCGACGCCAGGTTGATGTGCTTTCGATCAGGTCGCAACCCAGCATCAATGAGAAGAGCTAAGGAGATCCACTTGCAAAGAATATTTGGGTAAGTCTGAGCAACTCGTGTCCAACAAGCTTTATGGATTCGAGACCAGCCTACCAACTTCCGATGTTCATGATCCCGCAGACAAAACAGGCTTTGCCCTCGAAGATGACAATTCGTCAGAAAACGAGTCCTCTTCCTCCAAGGGCAGTTGCACCTGCAATAGTCCAAACGAAAAAGATTCTCTGGGTTATGGGATCCCACCTCAATCCAAGCATCAAGCAGCCAAAGGAAGGAGCCATCTGGATTTTCAACTAAGTAAAGTAAATCATGTTCACACGCAACCGAAATCAACTCTGCTAGCCAATCGGCGTGATCATTCCCTTCAGAGACCGCCTTGAACATTCTGGCAGTCAGATCATGGAGGCCCCTCGGGCTGGCCCTGCTTCGGATAGGCGGTCGAACTGCTCTCGAAAAGGACCTACAGAAAATGGCTGCACCTATTGCAAAGAAAACCTCAAGCTCAATCAGGTGCCTGATCATCGTTCGAAGCGTCTGATCGGACAAGTCTTGGTCGTCTCCATCTTCAAGCTCAAAGGTGAGGGCCCAGACAGAGCCCTCTTCTACAATCCGCCTGGCAACACCTTTCTTCCCAGAATACAAGTCTAAATAACCTTTCGTAGGAGGAAGGCTGTCTACCGGCCTCCAATCTAAAGGAACCTTCCAGGCTTGAGGAAAAATGAACTGACTTGCGTCGAACTGGCTCAGCAGATTAGCAATCTCATCGGGCCACGAAAACCCATGGAGCGAGGTCGATGGGAAACAAAACTCTTGGCTACCTCTTGACGTCGAAACATCTCTCAGCTCCCGGCCATTCCGAGAAGCCTTCTTAGCACGGTTTCCAGCGAAAAACATCTTGCTGCGCAACACTCGAGACGAGGCTACAGGTAAGGAATCCTCATTACGAAGCTCGTCAAAATCCGGCAAACCTGAAAGTTCAAACGGGTCTGCGCTAAAAGAAACAAGGAACTCGTCTAGCCGACAACATCTTTCAGGGGTACTGAGAGAGGAATGCTCTTTTAACCATTCTGGCGATTCCCGAGACGGACGGCGAACCGACTTGCCTCGGGTCGGATCATCTGCCACATTGACATCGGTGGGAACGTACCCGGCATTCGAAATCAAACCACATCCAAGGTGAGTAGGTAAGCTTTGCTGAAGGACCTGGTTCAGCCCCGCACTGGAGGATCTCCCTTTTATCCAGCAGCCCAGAGCAACTTGTGAGTCGGCAAAGTACATAGTTCGATTTGGAAAGCCAGCGAACACTGACTCGGCTTCGGCGCGAACCATGCCTTGCAGCTCTCCAATGTTAATATGCAAGCCATCCCGACTCTTCTCACGAAGAACCTCTTCGAATTGCAAACCTATCACCAACAACTGATGAAGAGGATGAGCATGGAAAGTATCACCTCCAGGAAGCTCGTCCCCAGTCTGAAGCTCGCCATGGACTCTATCGAGGGCTCTTGCAGGAGAAAGTAACTTCACCCAGGTATTCTTTCTGAGTTTGCGTCGATGCACCTCCCCCGCAAACCAGGATGGAAGCCGAGCTTTGCAGACGGCAAGGCCCCACGATGAGGCATCAGAAGCATATACATCTCTTGCGTTCGCAGCTTTCAAGAAAGTGACAGCAAGCGGTGCCAAAGCCACAATGAGGATGAGCTCGGACACCAACTCGTCTGACAACCGAAGAACAGTTCTGGAATTTTCTGAACTCTGCAAAGCTGCATAGCAAACATTGAGCAGCCGCCTCTTGTACAAGAAAACTGAAGTCCACGACCCAATGAGTACATTCAGCAGTGAAATGGTGCACACGCCCAACTTAATCACTCCAGTGGTGGCAAACAGCAGAGGGACAACGCGCTTCAGGTTCGCTCGAACCATTCCTGAGACGCCATCCACGTGCGCCCCCCAAAACTCGGCCTCGTCCTCCAGTCGGAAAGTCTTCCCAGGGTGAGGAATCAATCCCAGCGCGGTGTATTTAGCCAGAGCAGCATCCAGCTTCTGACCGCTTTGAAGGGAAGGATCTTCAGCCGAAAGACCTGCTGCAACTATTTCAAGGAGCACGAGGTCATCAATGACGACCCCTAACATGCTGGGCGCTCCCCCTTGTCTACCAGGCCAGACTGCGCCAAAATGCCGAGGGGGGCTGTCTGCGCGAGTTCAACAGCGCAGGTGTCGCCCATTGCTAACGTCTTCAGCCCAAACAAAAGAGGTCCGGCGCCCTCAAACTTCCTGTCATAGCACCGGAAATCTCGAATGTCAGAAGCGAAAAACGTGCCAATCAAAGAATTTCTCACAACACGCTCTGGGGTCGCAGAAAAACTGTAGTAGAATTCCCGCAGGTCGGTACCCGACAGCAGCATTCGCTCATCTGAAGCCATCTGGACATCCAGAAGGTTTGAAGACGCTCCCATTGAGTTAATCCACCGGTTAGGTGGTGTCTCCAGTGTATTGAAAGGTCTGCTATCGAAAATCAACCTGTCCTTATCTGAATCCTTAGTCACTGCGAACAAGCCAGCCTGATAGCCGGAGTAAGCTTCCTTAGGTCTGATGACTCCCAACCTCCCTGTTTAGCTTTTTCAGC